TCTGCCCGCTCCATCCCTGGGTGGCCCCTGAGGGTGGTAACCTGGACAGGTCCTGCAGGCCCTCTTGGCAGGCAGGCTGGCTTCCTGCCAGCTCACCCCGGTCTCTCCTTTGGGGGCGCTGTGGGTGTGCATACCTCTCTGAGGCCCCAGGCTGCTAGCATGGGAGACACAGACTTCTAGGCCAGAGTCAGACTCCCAGGGCATAAGCCCTCTGTGGAGAGTGGGCCATGCATGTGCTGGGCACTGTGCCAGCGGGTCCACCCAGTGCCAGACCCTGGAAGGGGTAAGAGTCATTGCAGGCAGGGGCCATGGCAGGAACTCTTGGTCTCCAGGTGGCACGTGCCCTGCATCTGTTCCCAAGCTGCCTGGCGAGCCCCACAGGGCCAAGGGCCACTGAAGGCTGGTGCCCAGGTTAAGGGTGGTCCCAGGTAGCTGATGTGATTGAGGGGCCTCAATGCCCAGAGACAGGCCTGTGGGGTAAGGCCTGGAAGGGCCCAGCGCCTGCATCAGGGTGCTCAGTCCCAGGCCTGCCTGAGAGGAGGGAATCTGCCCCGAGGAGGGGAGGCAAGGAGGTGCACAGCCTGAGTAAGAAATGGGTCCTGAGAAGGGTGTCCTGAGACAAGATTGTCCTGACGGCGACCGTGACAGCATGGGGTCACGTAGGAGGCCTGGATGGGGTTGGTGAGCGGGGCCACTGAGGGTGTGGCTGGCGAGGGTTACCGAGTGGGGGTCTGTGTTCCGAAGCAGGAGCCTGTCACAGTGCAGGGAGGGTCACCACTGAATTTAGTTTCTCCAGCTGCGTGCAAAACCAGATGTCCTCGCCAGGGGCCCTGGACCCCCACAAAGGTATGCATACAGATAGACCCTTTCTCCTCAGGGCGTCCTGCTCATTTCCCTCTGGGATTACCTGGGCCTAAGGGCCTGTCACTGAGGAGAAGAGTTAGCGCCTCCCTGTGCCCTGAGCCACCCCTGTCTCCACGCCCCCCAAAAGGATGGTTCCAGGCCGTCCAGTCCACAGAAGCTATGGGAAGAGAGAGCCACACCCCCATTCCACCAGCAGCCAGGCCCCTGGGGGCCCACCTTTGCAGTCCCCATGTCAGGGGCCCAGAACTATTGATTCTTTTAATTGGTTGTCTATAGGGGGCCAAAGGAAAAGGGCAAAACGTAATGAAACATCCTTTATAGTTTTCTGCAAGTCTGGGCACCGGAGCCTCATGGTTCTCCCATGAGACCCTGGACACCAGGCGCCTGCCCCCAAGGAGTAGGAAGGCAGTCAGGGGCACTGGCCCATGCCCCTCAGACTGAGCCTTCCCTTCAGGACAGCACCTGTGTCCCTCAGCAACGGGCAATGTGCCGCCGGCCCCTGCAGCCCTTCTAGCCATGCCAGGGAGGGCCCGAGGATTTCTTTATAAGCTCAGATTATTATCAAGCACAAGGGGGAGTGAAGGGGTGTTATACGTTCTCCTTTAATGATGAATCCCATTTCCTCTTGCATTTGGTTTTCTTGCAACAGATGCTGTTGCAGAAAATGGAACAAAATGGAAAAGATAAAAAGGCAAGTAACTGACTCCGCTCAAAAGCCTGCCCAGCAGACGTTAGGAAAGGCAGGGCAGGGTGCCCAAGGCCCGCCCGGCGCATCCTCTCCTGGGCAGCTGCCCGGCTGCAGCGGGACCGGGGAGGCACGGAGCCGCCCTCCCGCTGTTCAATAACTGATGGCCATTTTTCTCCAATTAAGCTGAAATTGAAGGATCCTCAGACCTAGTCACCCTAATAAAATAATCAGTGCTTAAAATGTTAATTGTGCTCAGATGGGCCTTTGCCTGTGGTAGCTGCCAGCAAGCGAGCATGCAGGAAGGTCGCCCTCAGTGGAGAAAAAGTACCTCTGCATCTCGCCTCCGCAGGAACCCCCTGTGGGCAGCCCAAGGCCAAGACCTTGGCTCCATTTTGACAGTGTGACCCCATTGTGATGGCTGTGTGAGACCTGCTGTGACTGACCCCCACCCAAGCTGACCAGAGCCCCCTGTTCCATGCAGTGGCAGGCAGTGGTGCACAGTGGTTAGAATGAAGCCATGGAGTCACTCAGGTCTGGCTTAGACCCCTGGCTTTGCTACCCACGGAGCCAGCAATGCAGACACGGGCAAGATACGGAAGTTCCTGAGCCTCATCACTCCCTCGCGAAACAGCAGCAGTAAAACCAACCCTCTGAGCCCACAGGAGCCAGGAACATTTATCCACCCTGTGTCCTCAGCACCCGCCAGATCCCAAATGAGTGACTGTGGAAGCAACGCTCCCCCGCCACCAGGACAGGAGGGTTGGAGGTCAGGAACCGCCATCATGCGCTCTCCTGTGGGTGGTTCAGGGGCCCAATTCTGGGCAGCCTGCTTGCTCCAGAGGCTCCCTGAGCCCTGAGAGGAAGGGAGGCAGGGCCACCCACACCCACCACCGCCCCACCTTCCTGCTGTCTGCCTGGGAGAAGCACCTCCGTACCCCTGGAGAGACATCCACCCCCCACTCCAGGCTGTTTCTGGTTGTGACTTTGCCCACATGTGCACCCCAGCTCCATCCTGCAGAGACGACATGCCTAAGAGGCTTAGGCTCTCTTATGCCGTGAATCCCAAGGAAATCCACTTAGATATTCTGTGTTCCCTGATCCACCACATAATAAGATTCCTTTATCTCTTGTTGTCATGGGAAGTATATATTAACTGATTAATATTAATGTGTTGCTGATTAATATTAATATCTGAACCAATTCATACTTCACAAGGCAATGATGTTGACGAACGCCAGTGAGCCCCGACAGCTGTCGGGTTTTGGCAGTTCCCAGGGGTAATGGCAGAAGTCAGCGCTGACCCTCTCCACGGTGCCTCGTTAGGGACACCATGTCATTAGCAGTGTCTGTCAGAGCTGGCGTGGAAGTGTGTTTAGACTCTGATTGTGGCAATTAAAATCCTTGCCATCCAAGACAGCATATTTTATCATTTAAATAGCATTTTACATTCTCCCAACATATTTTCCCAGAAACATTGTTGAATTAGGTGATAAAAGGTTATTTCTTGCTTTTGAAGTTGAAATACGTTACCATTATTCCTTATCTGCCTAGAATGAGAAAAATTTTAGTATTATATATGCTAAAGATTTCATTATCAAAAATTGCCAGACTTTATAAAACAAACAACATTTTTCTTGACCATTGTTCTCATCAAAGATGGACAGAAGCTTTGTCTTCTGACATTGGAGATTGCTTTTAGCATTTGGTGGAAAGGGAAGTGCCATCCTTCACAGCAGCCAGGACTGTGTGCTCAGTGCTCAGCAGGATCACTGGGTACCCTGGCTTACCTTTGATTGGGAGCTGTCATCTGTGCCACTCCAGGAAAAGCCAAAGACAGGCAGGCCTGAGCTTCCCATCCCTCTTGCCCACAGGGAAAGCACAGACAGAGGCTGGACTGGAGCCTGTCGGCAGCCGAATCACTTCCCATCCCTCTGTCTCCTCTCCAGCTAGCAACCTGGCCAGCCCCAACCCTCACCTGGCCTCCGTGTCAAATACTGTACTCTGGACCTCAAACCACCCACCCACCCACCTGCTACCCAATCACCCACCATCCCACCGTCTACCTGCCATCCCAGCTGCTGTCAATGTGCCACACATGTGCCATCTCCCTGCCACCCATGCTCCATCACATCTGACATGGAAGATACCCCTTGTATAACACACGAGTCTCTACCCATCCTGATTCCCCACCCACACCTCCCACTTAAATATGCTATGATCAGGAGCTGGGACCACATAGTGGACCACTTGGATAATTACATGGATTACAGTGGAATGGATCACTTTCCCCCAGTGCCCAGCATCCCTAGGTCACCCTGTATCATGACCTATGATGGGCAAACTGTCTTTGATGTGGCACTCTAAGCCGTGGGGCTCTTAGAAAAATGCATCTCTGTGCCTCCGGAGGAGAGCACACAGGCCAGGGGAACAGCTGTGCTCCTCTGAAAGGGCAGGCAGCCTTTCCTCTGAAACCTGACCCCAGTCCCACCGCATCCCATCCACTTTCCCAGGTTTGGATACCAGAGACAGGGCTGATTTTATCAGTGAAGAGGCTTGTGGTCTCACAGACTGCTGACCAGAGCAGAGCTGTAGCTGGGCTGATGGTAATGGCCCAGGTTGCTCTGTGGCAGTGCCTGCCCTGCATGCCATCTCCAACCTCTACCCTGCCTCACGGGGACAGCCAGGCCCAGATGTTTGGGGCATGGGTGATAGCATCTCTGCCAGAAGACTTTAGCCAAGGACAGGAGCTGGAGAAGCAGGGTTGCTGGTTTCCTCCTGAGCCCACCGGGAACCTATCTAAATCCATCGTGGAGGTAAACCTTGAGGTTGGCTTCAGTTCCTCTGAGCTTTTCTCTGCAGGGCAAGGGCACAGGGGGAAGAGATCACTCTCTGCTGATCATCTGAATGAGAGATGCCAGTCTGAGGGAACCTGTCTGCAGCCAATCTCATTCTTCTGAGGAGCTCAGCCCTGCAGAGCCATCCCATCCTGGCCCATCCAGGTCTCTCTCCACCCAAGATAGGGCTGCAGATAGAAGAGGCCCCAGTGTATTCCAGAAGCTGCACTGAGCACAGAGGGAAGGTGTAACCTTGAGGAGGCACCTGCGGATTCCTGGACCCCAGCCTCGGCTGGATCACGCTCATAACTGGGGATGCAGCAGGGCTGACAGTGGCTGAAAGCTGGGAATGACAGTCGCAGGACATTGCACCATCCCCAGTGCCCAAAGAGTGCCTTCCTGTGGATTTCCAGCCCTTCTGAAATCACCGCCAGTCCCAACTGCAAATTCACACGAAAGACTAAATAATGCCCTGTTCCAAGTGCCCACCGTCTGACATCACATGTGTCCTGTGCTCCCTGCCTACATGTGCTGGTACACAGCAGCCCCTATCTCTGTAATCACCTCCCTAACAAACAGAAAACATGCTCATCACCGTTGTAAGCATCCCCAGTGTGATTTATTACCATCATCACAATATTTTGTTTGGAGCTGTAAACCTCCAGACATAAATCAAGTCATTAGAAGGAATGACGTTTAATCCTGCAGAGGATGCCTCGGTGGGCTGAGCAGCTCTCACCCAGCTCGTGAACCATTCATCCTGGAGAGGATGGCCCATGCACACCTCCACGGGCAGGTCCTCATCTCCGCCTCACAAGAGGCACAAGCCAGCCTGCTTTCGTTTCTTGGAACAGCGTATCCACGACTGCCAAGAGGTGCCCATAGCACGGGCCTGGTAATCCAGCTGGGAGTCCTAATTCAGCAGGAAATGCACACAGCCAAGAGGGGCCGCCTCTCCGCCTCCGTGCCACTGATTCCCTCTCCTTGTCCTGAGAGCGCAGGTTGGTTGACTTCAAAAGAAGCAGGAAAACAACTCAGAACATCGTGTTCAATCCTTTCACAGAGACCCCCACCACCCTTCAAGCAGTCATTACAAGGGGACCGTATTCTGTTTGCAAAGTCGGCAGGTCTAATTTCCAGGCCTTTGCTGCAGATGAGCAGACTAAGAAGACACCTGCTGAGCTTGAAGGGACAGTGCAGAGTACCTTCAAGAGCCTGGCAGCCCTCGTCCCACCCAAGCAAACACCAACATCAAATTCCCTGCAAATGGTGCCTTTCACAGTTAAGGAGACATCCCCGCAATGCTGGAGAGGGGAGGGGACTGGGGGTCTCGGCTGAGGGGTTGCCTTAACGACTGGCAAATTCTCAGTACACATGACAATTGTGAAAATTCTGGGTGACATTTCCAGGGTTTAGCTCTACTTAATATTCTTGTGCTCAGAGCTAATGAGGATGTTGGTATGCACCGTTGTCAGCTATGTGTTTCAAGGTGCTGGAAGTTGCAGGGCTGGACCGTGTGGCTTGTGTGTAGACACTGTTCTTACCCACAGTCCAGTGTTCCCAGCTGAGAGCTACTACCTGTAGGCCTGACTCAAGTCCTGTGTCCTACCCAATATAGCCAAACCCAGGGTGGGGCCTCCCTGCCTCCCCCACAGCTCTCCCCACCCTCCCTCTGACAACATGTTTGGGGCGGGTGCATTTCCCTCAACCCCCACCCCTCATACCCTGACTCACCCCTTCTCATTTCCCTGCTCATCCACTGCTTGGGTCAGGGCTGGGGAGGGCAGGCCTGCCTCATAGACTCAGGGGCCTCTCAGTGGATGGCAGGGACCGCCACCCCACTCTTCCCAGGGTCCACTCCTGAGCCGCCGGCAGCAGTTTACCATCTCACTTGCAGGAGCCTGACTCCCCACTGGGGACTGGAGCGCCTCCCTCTGGAAAGATTGGCCCCTGCAGCAGGTTAGGGCAGGTGCCGCGAGGGGCTGGGGAAGGTGGCTGGGACCCCCTTCCTTTGCGGTTCTCCTGGGCTTCACAGGCAACATCTGTGATGGGCCTCGCAGTCACAGGCCAGCTCAGTAATAGACGCTGCGGCCAGAACGGCACCTCCTGAAGCTGGCTACACCTGGGCAGATCATCATCTTGCGGCTGAGCCACCACAGTAACGAGGCTGCCTTGCTTGTGGCCTCCAATAGCCTGACTTGGTTCCAGTGACCAAGACCCTGTCACAGGGCCTGTCCAGTCAGTATTGATGGCACTTTTCCTGCAAACAGGCAACCCCTCAGTGGGGCAACCTCAGCATCATTCTCCAGCGTGACTCATTCATTTTTATTTCCTGGGAACCCCTGGCGGGAATTCACCAATATTTAAGCCAGATTAGGCCCCTCCCGCAGAGCAGTTTGGAGAAGGCCCGGGTGCCCTGATAGTCAAACAAGAGGAGTCACTTCATCAGTCCCACCGGCCACTCGGAGCCCAAGCTGTGGCTCCCTGCAGGCTCTGGACAAAGGCAGGACTCAGGCCAGGCCCGCTGCTGCGGCTGGCGCTGTGCCTCAGGCCTGCTTTCTGTCCCTGAGAGGTGTTGGTCCCACCCCCTGACCTGCCGGAGAGCTGCAGGCCGGGGAACATGAGCTTGCACACACACAGCCCCTGGGCTTGTCCTCCCCACCCAGGTCTGCCCTCTGGATGTCTACACTCAGGACACCCATAGGTATCTCCGACTCAATGAGGATCTGCCCCTTGGTGCAGGAAATGGCCCCAGCATCCACCTGCAGCCCAGGCCCAACACCAGAAGCTCCCTCATCCTGCTTCCAGTCAATCACAGACCCTGCTAATGCAGAAACCGGCTCCTACCAGCCTGTGGGGGCCCAGCTCCACATTTCCATCAGCAGCTTGAAATCTGTCATAGTGGGAGACTTCATACCGTGGTATTAGCAAACACTACAACTTAGACATCCCCCCACCCAGGGAGCCAGTTGTTAAACGTTGACCAGCACACCAGAAATACTCTTCATGTCTTCCTCCACTTTCCACCATCATCCCCTGAGGCCATGCCTCACACATCTCCTGCCTGGACAAAGGCAGCATCCACTGACCAGCCCTTCTGCTTCTGTGTTCAGCTCTTCATCTCAAAATGGTCCTGAAATTCAAAATAACTCCACCTTAAAGCCCTTCCAGGCTCCCCTCTGACCTTAGGAGATCAGATCTAAGGCCTTCTGCCAGACCATAAGGCCCCTTGCTTGCTGGCCATCGTGGCCCTGCCATTTCTTGACACCCTTTAGTCTACATCCCTTCATCCCATGAGCCCTGCTGTCACTGTGCAAGGCCAAGCTCTGCCCTCATTACCCTCAGGTGCCAACTAACTGTCACTACCTTAGGGAGACCTCACCTGGCGCCCTGGGCATGCTGACAACTCTGGTCACATGCTACGCCCTCCACTGCTGCCATAACACTTGGAATTGCTGTCCATGCCTCCTTTCTTTGCCAGATTGTAAACTTCATGAGGGTAGGAGCCGCAGCCATCCCATTCATGACCAGGACACCGTCACTGGTGCGTGAGACACTGCCTGGTGCATACAGCTGCTCAGTATGCTCTAAGCACTTGCTCTAAGCCACATGCCCTGTGCTCAAAACTGTACAGTGACGTGAACACCCACACTTCCCGTCCAGATAATGCCACATCACACTGCAGGAAGCATGCATGTGTGTGTCTCAGAGATGCGGGAACCAGGATGTGTGATGTAACATAGTATAAGGCATACCATGTCTGGTTCCAGGCAACACGCACCCATGGGGGTGTAGTGTGGAGCATGGCACATGAGTGCTAGGGCCACACACACACCAGGTATGATGGGGGTCAACCCCAAGCTCTGACGGAGGAGAGCTCCGAAGCAGGAGCTGAGGACCCCTCCCTTGTTGCAAAGGCAGGCATGCAGGAAGGGGGGATGCTCGGGGACAACCCCCACCACCACCACTAAGTGATGAGCGAATGGTGGGTGCAGAGCGGCAGGGCAGCTGGAGGGTTCACAGGCCGGGAAACTGGCTGGCTGGCTGAGTGACAGGCAGCTGCAGCGCTCCACTCTGACAGCCCCAAGGGGATTCTCAGCCAAGGCTGAGCTGACAGGGAACTACCCGGATGAATCGTGGATCCTAATCACAGAGGCAAGAGAGTGGAATCACTAAACAAAACAAGCCGTGGTCAGAGCTGTCAGGTGCCCATCAGCCTGAGACAGGAAGATCCGCTTCCTTCCTCGGCAAATGGTCCTGGCGCCCCTGCGCTGGTGCAGGAGCCAGGCGCAGGGAAACTCAGCTTCTGCAAAGGTAGCCCAGCAGGAGCAACCAGCACCTGGTAGCTCCCATAACTCATGGGTTCTCTGCACCCAGCACTGTGTATCACTTCAGCGACACATTTGTGAACCTGAAAAATGGGTATTTTTCTCCCATCTTACCGATAAGGAAACTAAGGTTCACTGAGGTCAAGGTCACACAGCAGTGCTGTCACTCACTCTCTTTGCTTAAAATCCCTTTTAAACATCCTGATCCCTTGTTAAAAGCTATGTCTTCAAGTGGAGTCCCCAGGCAAAGGGAGAGGAAGCCCTTGCTCGGGTCTGGGCCAAAGGTCCGGGGTCACTGTGTGACAGCACTGAGTCTGGCTGTCTTGAAGTAGCAGGAAAAAGCCCCACCCACAGAGGCTGAGGCAGGAGGGGCCCCTGCAGGGCTGCCTGCCACCTCACCCAGGATCCCGTCAGGCCTGAGTCCTGCCTTTCCCCCACAGCCACACTCTGACCACAGAACCACCTCTGGGTTCCAGGAGCAGCTGGGACCTTTGTCCCGGGCAGCGCTGCCTACCCTGGGCCCTGGGGAGAGCTGTGACCCAGGCTATGCTCAGAGGCCCTCTCAGAGAGCTTAGTGAGTTGAATTTTCCTGTGAACACAAGTGGAAACTTAAGGCCCTTCAGTGAGGCTTCTCCCATCTGACTTTGATGACTTGAGTCCAGGCTGCCCTCTAATTGCTGAATGTGTTCAAACTTCAGTATTGCATCTAATTTGCATGAATTACTAACCTGCCCAGATGGAGGGAGCTGCTCACCATGAGACAGTTGGATGCCAAGGCAGGGTTTGCTGCTCAAAAGGGGAGAACCTGAGTGGGTGGAAGATTCACCAGAGGAGGTGTGGCCACCTCAAGTCCACAGACCCCACACAGACAGGGTGGGGGGGCCGGACCCCTCACCCAGGGCAGCACCCGTCCACCCCTAGCCACTCAGCTGGCAACTGCTTCCCAGACACACAGACCCTTCTCAGGTTGCCGGGCCAAGCTGGAGAAGCCCCCGCTGGGGTTGATGGACTCCAGCCAGAGCACTGGGCCCGGCTTCTGCGGGGAGAAGCACAATGCCCGTCCTCACCTCCAGGGCCAGCTCTCAGTCCCGGCAGCATCAGCTTTGCGCAAGCATTTATTGAGCTCCTGCTGTGTGCCAGGCATTGTGCCAAGCTCTGTCTGACACAGATGGACAAGACATGGTACACTGAGGACAAATCAGTCCTTCGCTGGTGATCACATGCCCCAACCCTCAGGGGAAGTCTGAGGGTTTTCTCACCTCCTCCAGGATGTCTCTGCCCTGCCTCAGAGCTCCCAAAGTCACATTACCTGCTGTCCTGGGCTGAACTGCACCCCTCTCAAGATGTGTTGAAGTCCCAACCCCTGGGACCTGTGAATGAGACAGTATAGTGTCCTTGCAATGTGATCAATTTAAGATGAGGTCGCTAAGGTGGGCCCTCACTCAGAACGACCGGCGTCCTTGTAAGAAGAGGATATACGAGACAGCCATGTGAAGACAGAAGCGGAGACTGGAATTAAGTTGCCACAACCTGAGGAACATCTGGGGCTGCCAGAAGCTAGAAGGACTTCAGAGGGAACCTGGCCTTGCTGACACCTCCATTTCTGACATCAAGCCTCTGTAACAATGAGAGAATAAGTTTCAGTCATTTTAAGCCACCCCATTTTGTGGTACTTCATCACAGCAGCCCTAGCAAACTAATACACCCCATGTGATGGTTAATTCCATGTGTCAGCTTGGCTGGGCAGCAGTGCCCAGATTTTTGGTCAAACGTCAGTCTATATGTTTCTGTGAAGGTGTTTTTAGATATGATTAACATTTACATCAGTAGCCTTATGAATAAAGCAGATTACCCTCCATAATGTGGTAGGCTTCATCCAATCAGTTGAAGGCCTTCAGAGAAAAAGACTGAAGCTTCCCAAGGAAGAGGGGGTTCTTTCTCCAGACCACTCTCAGATGGGAGCCGTGACATCTGTGCGTCCAGTATCTCCAGCCTTTCTGGGTCTCCAGACAAGAATTCAGACTTTCCAGCCCCCACGGTCATGTTAGCCAATCCCTTAATAAATTGCTCCCTCCCCCACCATATATATATATAACCTAATGGAGGTTAGAAAAGGGCCAGGAGGACTCTGACTACTACAGCCCCTCATTCAGAAACCGTCTGTTCTTGCGGGGCCTGGCAGTTCCTGTCAGGCTTTCTCGCTGACCCCATTGGGCAGCACACCTGCCCTGGCCATGTTGTCCCTGCTTCGCACCTGGTGGCTCATCACCTGGGCATGGAGGAGGCCCTGTACGCTGAGCAGCCATGCAGGGCGGCCCCAGGACATGCAGGCCTGCCTCTCGGCACACATGGGCACAGGAGCTACTTCCTCGTGACCGGGCAGTGGAAACAGCAGAGCAGGGCAACTGTCTGTCCACCAGATGTGACTGACAGGAAGTCTGGGGTGGGGTACTGAAATTTGGGCTCAGGATCTCACACTGAGGGGGACCCAAGGTGCGGTGTGGCCTGGCTGTCAGGGTCTTCCCTGCCCAGGCCAGCCTGAACCCTCTGGAAGCGTGCGGCCTGTAGGCAGCATAAGTGGCCATGTGGGCGGCCAGCTCAGGCAGATGTAGCCACGCAGCATCACCCAACAGAAGGTCCAGGACATGGAAAAGGAGCCAAGGAAACACAGCTCAGTACAGGAAACTCAGCTTCCAAGGACCATGAATCTGAAACTCCCCTTAGGGCAGGGCCTTCAGATTTACACCCACACCCCAAGGCCTCTCCTGGCTTCTTCAGTTCTCTCCCATCTAGGTCCCTCTCTGTGGCTCCGAATCCCTCAGGACCCTGCCATTCCCTAGCCATAGTGTTGAGATTCAGGGCCCCCCTACACAGCCTATCAGGGCCTGGGGCTGGAATTTGAGCAGTCAGAGTAGCACTCCCTCTCCTCAAACACGGTCAAGGGCTCATGAGGCACTTCTAGCCCTTTCTAGGCACTTGGGTCCTGTTTGGACCCGTGTCAGTGCCATCTGTATACACAGCCTGACTGAAAGGCTGTTCCCCTGCCCCCAGCCCCACTGGCCTGGGCAGCAGCAACTGAGGCATTTGAATTTAACTCAGCAGGTCTCCTGTGACTCAGAGAGAAGTGGGCAAGGGACCCTGTCCCCAACAGCCCACGAGCCAGTGAAGCCCCTCCCCAGCTCAGACCCAGACCCAGGCCGCAAGGCCTGATGATGAGAAACTGGCCTCACACACCCTCATCGGCCTTTGCCTCCCCTTGGCAGGTAACCAGGAAGCTTCCCTGCCAAACACTCAGAAAAAAACCTTCAGCCAATGAAGAGTTCACGATGCAGAACACACTTGGCAGCCCCAATAACTCATGCCTCGTTTATTCTCACCGATGCTCACTCTTATCATACTGTGTGTGTTTCAACCGCTCTGCACATGTCATCTGTCCAGAAAGAGAAAGTGGTTGTTTTTTTCTTACCGTGCAGGGGGATGAACTTGCTTGCAGATTGTTAACATTGTGTTGAAGGGAGAGGACAGGTAACCCAGACACTGAAGTGGAGCACGTACATGACTGGTCTTGCGATTCCCATCACAGGGCAGGGGTTGGAGAGACAGGGAGACTGGTAACACTGGAGCCTGGGGGCATGGCTTGCATTGCTCAGCAAGCCTACCATTTTCATCTATATTGTACATTTATTTTCAGGCTTGGGAGGGGCTGGTGGTGGTTATATTGAGACTAAGCATGCCCCCACCCCGCTCATAAATCCCCCATGGCACCAATACCTTCCTCAGGGGTGCAGCAGAGGCAGGGCCCTTCGCTGCCCCTCTATGGCCTCTCCACGGAGCTGTACAGTGTCCTGAAGGGCAGCCCACTGGGGATGCACAGATCCCAACCTCAGGACGCCCAGGGCTCCTGGCCTTCACTTGCTCAGAGCTGGGGGTGGTCTTGCTTCAGCCTTTATCTGAGCAGTGTGTGCAAGAGCAGCTTCATCCCCTGAAAAAGTAAGGACAGTGGGCCTCCAGCAATGGGGAGAGCCCAGTACATTTTCTTCATTAAGTTTCTGTCTGTATTCCAAAGTGGCCTGTGGGATGGGGTCAGTCTTGGCCCAAAGAGCTGCCATAAGGGAAACAAACAGCTTGTGGCAAACTCAGGCTCCACAAAACATCTTTGTTGAGTTTTTCAAAGGGGGCAATTGTAGCTAGGTTGGCCTTATTGGGTAAAGTGGCCAAGAGGCCAGGAGGCTCACCCGGCCGGGGTGCTGTCCAGCGGGGCCCTTCTCCCAGCTGGTGCCCGGGGCTTGGGCCTGGCCAGCCTTCCCGTGGGCCAACCCTGGAAACTCCCTAGGCTCAGTGCCCTCCTGCCCCATCTGCACAGATCAAATGGGACAGGCCCCACAGCCAGAGGGGCTGCGACCTTGATAAGCACATCCTTGTCCAACTTCACCAGCTGGCAGGATGCCTTTCATAAGTGGCCTCTCAGCCCCACTCATGGCCAAATCTGGCATGACTCATTTGCTCCAGAAAAGGAATATAAATAAGCCCCATTGCACCTTGACAAGTTGACAGGATTGACAAGCATCCTGGTATCTGCAACTCTCCAGGAGGGCAGGTGATTTAGCAGAGCCAGCTGCCATCACCAGAAGAAAATAATTAAGGAAACCTGGCAGTGCAGAGGAAAACTGAGGGTGCAGTAGGTCCCTTCTGGTAAAGGGATCTGTGGTCGTTGGCTGCAGGAAAAATCCAGACGTGCTGTTAAGAAATGAGTTCAGGAAGCTTGCGCAGGGGATGCACTCTGTGAAGAGGATGAGGAAGGTAGGGGGTGGCCTGAAGAAGGGAAATAGGCTCTGGGAGCTTAATTCTAAAAGGCTCCTCTATCAAAGTGAGGCCCCCACTGCCACACCCTGTGTGTGAGCAGCCAGTCCTACCTGGAGCTTCCCCTCAGCTTCCGCGGGAGAGTGTGGAAGACCTGCACCAGAGCTCCCTGACGGGCACCACATGCACATGAGCTGGGGAAGATCCGGGATGGTGTGGACACATTGCCCTTTACCTAGGGAAGGACACACCCCTGTTCCCAGGCCAAAGGCATCAAAAAATAATATTGACGCAGAAGAAAGAGGCAACATGCCCGAGTTCCACCTTTGTTTCCATCTCTCTTGGAATTTGAAGAAGGTGCCAGAAGGCTCAGAGAATTTAGGCTTTCCAGCCCAGGGATGACCGCACACCCACCCTGCATGCTTGCTGCTGATTGGAGATGTGTGGGCACATCCTCAGACTGACCACTATGAGGCTAGGGTCACAGCAGTGGCTGAACCTATAAAACTAGACCTCACAGAGGAACTCGGAGGAGTCTTTGGGTCAGGGACGGAGGACGTGGATGTTCCCTCACCAGCTGGGCTCCAGCTACTGGACCTCTGCCAAGTACACAGAGACAGCAGAGGAAGTGCTGGGCCCCAGGCGGCACCCAGAACTCGGTCACGGGTGGTCAGACAAGATGCCCCATTGTGCCAACTGGAAGGTCAAGTCTCTACTTGCTTAAGGGGTGGCTGGTTCTGACTGGGACTGTGGCTTTTCGCAAAGCCTCAGGGCAGAAACATCCACTCACATGGTATAAGACGAGGAAGATACCCTGATGCCTCAGTGGCCAAGCAGGGTTGGGGGAAGGAGGCCAAGACTCTTAAATAGGTTGCCCCAAAGGAAATCCTCTTGTCCTCCCAGGACCTCCCCCAAAACAGACCAAATTAAGTATGAGGCTGAATCCTCTCCTCTGGTCAGAGTCCACCTCCTCAGAGCTTATTTTGCTAGGTGACCCCAGCCCCAGCTCAGGCAAACGGCCTCCTTGGTAGGCAAAGGGGACATTCTGGAGTGTGGGCATCAGTGCACTGTCTTTCCATCTTCCTCCAGTCATAAGTGCCTGCTGGACAATCACTCTGAGCCTGGGCTCTGTCAGCCCTTAGGAGCCCAGGGTAAGCAGGATGTGGCCAGCTCACCCCCAGGGCCAGCTGAGATGACCAAAATCATGCAGTAGGTGCCTAGGTTAGGGAACTTCCCAGAGCAAGTGGGGAGGCCCCAATCCAGGGGAAGGAGTGTTTTCTGTTCCCAGGTCTGGTATGTGCAAAGGCATGGGTGTTAGTGTGTCTCATTCCAAATACAGAAAGTCCACATCAACTAGAGCCAGGGCAGGACTGATGGGGCATAGAAAGAGGATGGGCAGAGCTTCCTGAAGGGTCCTTCCCTGTAACTTAATGACAGTGTGAGGTGAGGGGTGGGCTGTCAGGTCCTTGGCTGCATAGCTCAGAAGGATGTGGACACACCTAGGCAGGGCACCTTTCTAGACCTCCCAGGTCACATCAGGAGGTGAGACACTGAGAAGTGAGCATCAGCTGGGAGCCACATCTTTGCTGCACCTCCATTTTCCATGTGGGTAGGGGAAGCTATACCAGGCCAACACCATCCTCCCATCCTCACCCATGAGCTGCCTTTTCACAGAGCCCACCCTAAGTGCCCTCCAGCCTGGGTGCTACAATCAAGAGCCCATAAGCAGGTCCCTGGAAGCCACATAGTACTTCACCTACTAATACTGTCGTCTCTGTTTGCTTTTCAGGAATAAAGTTCAACATCAGGCCACAGCAGCCAGACAATGTGAGTTCTGAAAGGCAGATAAATCTCAGCATAGTAGCCTGGATAAAGTTGGGGAGGGCAGGGAAGAAAATTTGGAGTGCAGGTTGAATCCATTCTTGGAAAGAAAAATGTGTCCAGCCCTTCCCAGGAGCCTTGGGAACTAAGCCCAGGGCTTTGGACCCATGAATTTCCCTTTCCCTTTGGATGGCGACTTTGACTGTGCTAATAGACGCAGTAAATCTAAGCAGGCTTCCTAAGGCCACCTGCACCCGCAACGGGCATGACCAGGCAGAGGTTCCTGGGAGGCTTGCGCCATCTATTGGCAGGAACTGCACTTGCATCTCAGGCCCCGCAGTCGTCAAGACCACGGCCCGCTAGCTAGAGGAGGGGGCCTTCCAGGACTGGTCGCGCGGCCCAGACCAGAGGGCTCACATCCCGCAGGGTCAGCCCATCTGCCCCCCTCACCTGGGGAAAAAAACAGGCCACACACGGGGTAGGGACCCAGGCCGTGGCCCTCAGTGCCCAGTTGTCCTGCCCACCCCGGTAACCATTTTTCCTTTTGCCCTCAGGACCTCCCACCAGCCATTCCTCAGGATGGTGACTTGAAGGCACCCACAGGGAAGGCCACCCTAGACTTGTCCAGCCGGGCCCCGAGAGGCCCGCACCTGCTGGTGCCTGACCAGCCGCAATCCCACCTAAACACGGGAGCGCGTCTGCGACCCCGGCAGCGCCGCCGGAGGCTGCTTATCAAGAAAATGGCAGCTGCAGGGGCTGTCCCGGCCAACAGCTCGGCACGTGCGTTTGTCAGGCCTGCACCGCGGGCCCTGGACGGCCACTGGGTCCGCCTGCACCAGATCCAGCTGGAGCGCAAGCGGCTGATGCGGGAGGCATGCGCCAAGTACCGGGCGAGCAGCAGCCGCAGGGCGGTCACACCCCGCCACGTGTCCCGCATCTTCGTGGAGGACCGCCACCGCGTGCTGTACTGCGAGGTGCCCAAGGCAGGCTGCTCTAACTGGAAGCGCGTGCTCATGGTGCTGGCCGGGCTGGCCTCGTCCACCGCCGACATCCAGCACAACACCGTGCACTACGGCAGCGCCCTCAGGCGGCTGGACACCTTCGACCGCCAGGGCATCCTTCACCGCCTCGGCACTTACACCAAGATGCTCTTTGTCCGCGAGCCCTTCGAGAGGCTGGTCTCTGCCTTCCGCGACAAGTTTGAGCACCCCAATAGCTACTACCACCCCGTCTTCGGTAAGGCCATCCTGGCCCGCTACCGGGCCAACGCCTCTCGGGAGGCCCTGCGGACAGGCTCGGGAGTGCGTTTCCCTGAGTTTGTCCAGTACCTGCTGGACGTGCACCGGCCCGTGGGCATGGACATACACTGGGACCACGTTGGCCGGCTCTGCAGCCCCTGCCTCATCGACTATGACTTCGTGGGCAAGTTTGAGAGCATGGAGGAGGATGCCAACTTCTTCCTGCGCCTCATCCGCGCGCCACAGAACCTGACCTTCCCCCGGTTCAAGGACCGGCACTCAGAGGAGGCGCGGACCACGGCGCGGATCACCCACGAATACTTCGCCCAGCTCTCGGCCCTGCAGCGGCAGCGCACCTACGACTTCTACTACATGGACTACTTGATGTTCAACTACTCCAAGCCCTTTGCAGACCTATACTGAGGGCGGCCTGCTGGTCGGAGCACAGAGAGGCACCCAGAGCCGCAGGGCTCTGAGGACGTGAGGAACTGCCATTGCTGGGTGCCACAGGCCCTAGATGGGGACCGAGGCCCAGCCCTTGAATGAGGACCCTGACCTTTATCCCATACCCCTTCCACATTCCAATGCTGAGGAAGATGCTGGGGGTGTGAGCTGGGACCCAAGAGTCCCGGCTACCCACACCCAGCCCAGCCAAGAGTCAGGTTGACCAGGGAATTCTGAGGCCCAGAGGAGGAGGGCCCCAGCGGTTAGGGACTTCCCTTAGCCATTGCCTTGTACCAAACTACACAGTTTGCAGCTTTTCTACAACCCAGGGGGAGGGTCCAAATAAAGCACATGGTTTCCAGAGCAGCAGTGCCTACGCTCTGTGTGTTGGTGTGGTAACACACGGAACCTTCAGGGCGCTGTCCCGGGCTCTGTCTGCCTCCGAGGACAGCCTGAGCCAGGGGCTTGCCGGCCCTGGGAGTGAGGGGAGGGATGACCTGGAGGCCCAGCAGCATTGGCTCTCAGACTCCCCATGCCAGAACTGGGTCCTCTCGTCTCAGTACCAGCACATTCATCCCCAAAGGAGAAGGTGGCCATGTCTCCACGGAGGCCCACTAGGGTCCCTCCCATCAGCGCACTCTGTGTGGGGCCTCCAAGTTCCACCAGCGCAACAGTGAGCTTCCAGACAGGCTGCCACATGGGGCTGCACAAGGATCTCAGTGGGTGTGGCATCACCAGCTGGGGAGCTGTTATCCCTGGCTTTCTGAACCTCTTGCTAAGCAGAAATTTAGCCCGAAGCTGTCATCTGCAGAGAACCCTGTCTCCATTCCCCAGACAAAACCACCTCCCCCATCCCAGGGGGAGTCAGCTCTGGGAGAGGGGCAGGAGAAGCTGTAGAGGAAACTTCTTCAAATCACACATTCATCACACACAGAAATGATTCTGAAATGGTCAAAAGTCAGGGTGATTCTTGGAAAGTCGTGGAGGAGTTGGAGCTTTGAGGGTGGTGTGAAGGTGGCTGTCTGGGGTCTGGTCTGTAATGGGAAGTGCTGCCTGACCATTTCTAGGGGTCTGTTTGCCTCCTCTCAGGTTTCACCTCTCTGTCAGCCTGTGTCTGCCGGGAGCCTGCGGCACGCCCCCTGAATCTTTCTGTGGGTCTCTCTGTGCATCTCTCCCAGGAGACTGCTCTCCTTCTGCTCGTGCTTGCTGGGGGAGATGTTGCCAGACCCCAAGAAGGAGCTGCTGCTGGATCCCAGCCAGACTACACCAGCATGCGTTGCTCCGGTTCCCTTTCTGCTTCCACTATGGGCTCTGGAAGCTTGTAAAGGTGGAATGAGTAGCAAGTCTGCCTCCTGCTTGCTCTGGACACATGTGTCCAGGAACCCTGAGCAGGATGAGGCCTTCCCTGGAGTTCCAGCTGTAGTGGCCCCACTATCTGACAGAAGGAACCCAGAGGGGCTGGAAGGAGGCTGTGGGTGTGGAAGAAAGGGAGGAAGATGCCTAGAGGCTCAGAGATCCAGGGGAGCTACCTGTACCTTGACCAAAGCCAGGTCAGCACAAGCCCAGGAACAGCTGTCCTGGGCTATGGTCTGCACAAAGTGAGATAGAAGTCACAGTGCAAAAACAGTGTCTCTGATCATAGATGCATTTGGCGAAGCCTGAGGTGGAGTGTCACTATGTCATTTGCTCAGCAAAGTCACCTGGAAGTGACTTCACCCACTACTGCTGCCTGGAGACAATCAGGATACCTGGGACCATCCTCCCACTGCACGAGCGGAGTGTGTGTGTGTGTGTGTGTGTGTACTAAAGACATCTTTACTTGTGTCATGTCTCAGAGATAGCCAATCCTGAGCTAGGGAGATGACACACACACATGTCCTTCAAAGCGGGGCTTTCCTTCTGGTTGGCAGCAGGAGACACAGCATCTAGGCAATGACTGCTATCACTACCTGATGGCCTCCAGCATGACCTCCTACTAAAGGCCAGAGGCCCAGCTCTGAAACCGCACCTTGCGCCCGTTGAGGTGATGCTGGGCCCAGCTCCAGTCCCCAACCCCAGCCTCAAGCCTCATATAGCCCTAGCACTTGGGGACAGTGGACTCAACTGTGTGTGTGTGTATGTGTGTGTGCGCGCACACGCGCACCAGGGAGAGGGAAGACGGGTGTGAACATGTAAGTCTCTGTGTGTGAGTGATGTGGCAAGTGTCTGTGCATATCTGTGTCTCTGGGGGTGTACATGCGTGTCAGTGGGGTTGGGGAAGGGGCTGTGAACAGTCCTCTCTCTTCTCTGTGACCATGTTGTGCTGCTCCCTCCCCTGCCCATCTCTGCCCCCATTTCCTCTGCTCACCACTTTGTGGGTAAAGTCTGGAGGGAGCCTTCTGGGTCAGGGACCCAAGAAGGGGCCACATGCTCCTTTCAGGGGTCCAGCAGGCCTATCAAGTGAGGGATACAACCACCAAATTCCCAGTGCCCTTCTCAGCTCAGTCCTCCAAACCGGGGCCTCTCTGGGGCAGCCCACCCTGAAGGACCTGCTGGGTCTTTGCCCTCAGAGCAGCGGAGACCTCCCCCAGACATGAGCCCGGCTCTATGAATGGTGGGAGAAAAGAGCCCCAAAACCTAGGGTCCCCACTGGGGCCTGTGAGCCCCAGAAGCCCTGGAGTCCTTTGGGGAAATGAGGTGCAAGGCCCAGCCAGATGGCAAGGTGTGAGATTCTGGCACCTCTGGCCTCCAAGACATGGCCAAGCCCTCTTCCCACCTGCTGTAACCACAGCCTGGCTACCCACCCAGGGGCCCAGGATGAGGCGGTCAGGCAATGGACAGAGGGACAGTCTTCCAGAACCCTCTCTCCTCCCAGGCAGGGCCCATTTGCCAGCTTCATCCTCAGTGCTGAGCCCCCCTGGTGGGATGGGGAGCCCCAGGAAAGCCCTGGGCTGAGGTGGTCTGCCCCACTTCCCCCATCTCCTCCTAGCCCCTTCCTCTCTGGGGAGCACCCCTGGCTAATCAAAGGAATTTCCTTCTGGAGTCTCCCCAACACCCCCACCCAAGTGCACTGGGACCCAGAGCTGGGCACAGGGGACTTAGGGGTGATAGAGAAGGGACCAGAGTGGTATCCAGGAGCTGGGCCCCGCAGTCTGGGACTAAGCAGGGCTGAAATAAACTGCTCCCATCGCTAGGGCTCCCATGCTTGCTGATGGGTACAGACCCTGGATGAGGAATAAACAGGTGCCCTTGGGAAGGGAGCCCCCCACCTCTGGGTAGGGAGGAGAGTGTGAGAAGACAGTGTCCTCTGGAGGGACCCACTGGCGCAGACTGTGGGGAGGCTCTGGGAAGGGCCTGTGAGAGGCCTGGGCTCTGGTCCCTCCAGCTGGCCGGCCTGGGTGGTGGTGAGGCCTGCACTGCTCCTTAACTCTTCACGCTGCCCAGAAGGGCCCTTTGTAAGACATGGCAGCAGGGTAACCAGAGTTCTGGCTGGGCTAGGAGCAGACCCCCCTGCCCCCTCCCCAACCTCTTGGCCTGACTCAGGAAGGGAGGAGGGCTGCTCTCAAGAGCACTTGAAACTTAGGGAAAAGGCCAAGGCCAAAAGTCAGAGGTCATAGGTCAGAATGAGTCGTTCCGCACCCACACTGAGAGGCCTAGGGCCTGCCAGCCTGAGTCAAGCTCTGACACGGGCCAGGCTGTGTTGGCCTCTCCGGAGGGTGTGTGCCTTGCCCTACTTTACAGGCGAGAAGACCAAGGCCCAGCGAGTCTTGCCCAGAGGAGCTGAGACCTCTGCCACGCAATCGGGCTGGGCGCTCTCACCGCTGTGCCGCCCTCCCCTTCAGCATCGGTGCAGCGCTGCTCGATACAGGGGGTGCTGGAGGGGGGGCGCCGGGGCGCCAGGGCGCGGAGGCGCGGCCGGGAGTAGCTCTCCGCTGGCAGGTACAGCACTTGACCACCAGGGGGCGCTAAGTCCTCGCTCCTGAGCAGCTGCCCGGCATCCACAGCCTGCCCACCAGGTGGCAGCCACACCCCGACTTTGCCGCTCCAGGCGGGGCGGAGCATTCCCCAGACCTTCAGGAGGGGGTCCCCAGCTTCCCATCCGAGTCGCAGATCTTCTGCCCTGTCTCGCTCCCAGCCACGGGGCCACGAGGCTCTGCCTCTCCAGCTATCGGCAGACTTGGGGGCTCACTTTTGAACACACCAGCTCCAGGGATCCCCCCACCCTGCCCTAACACCAAGCCCCGGAAACTGCCAGAGCCCTTCACCCCTCATATGGGCATCCTTGGGCCAGAAGGTCCCAGGAATCGCTCACCTGCGCACACTGGTCGGCAGGGAGGACACAGTGTGGAAGGCCGTGTTCACAGTGGTGTGTGAGTTGCCATCACACCTGCTGGTTTTCCCCCCTCTTTGGCAAGCTTAGACTTGGGGTGCATCCTGACCCACCTTACACCTTGGGCATTTCTCCTTCTGCCACTCGCCTGGCAAAACCCAACCCCGTGGATGCCCCTCCAATCTGTCCCTGAGCTGCAGGAGGAAAGGCTTCCCTAGGCATTCCTTGCAGTTAGGGTCACAGACTCCACAGGCCCACCACAGTCTGCCGGTGTCTGTCCACTCTCCATGACGGTGACATCAGGCCTCCTGTGATCTCAACCACAATGCACACACATACATACAGTACAATTCGCAAAGGTGCACACCCAGACATGCCCCCACACCACCACACACATGGGGACACAGAGACCCATCCACAGACACACAGATGCAAACACACACACTTGTGAGCTCCCACCTGCAGACGTGCACACAGACCCAGGTGCCCATGGACACAGAACGAACACATCCACAACTCACGGTGTGCATGTCAGGGCAGCTAAATCGAAGGGAAGGACCAGAAAGCCCCTCCTGTCAAAGCGATGCTCCTGCACAGAGCCCTGTTCCCAGCCCTGTCAGAGGTCACCCTCCACTCACTCTCAGATTCTAAGCCCTTTGTCCCTCCTCACAGACATCACAGAGACAATTGTCCCCCTTCTGTGACACCAGGATTGTCAATCAACACACCATCTTAAATTGGAAAAGCCTTAGCCCGCCTGTCCTCCTTCCCAGCTAACACCACCCTGGTCTGCCTCCCAGTCCTGCCACCCACGGAAATGGCTCCCTTCCAAGTCTTCAGCTATGTCACATTTCGAACCCTCAAGCCCTCTGCCGTCTACACACTCCCTGGACAAGCTCAGCCAGTCTCACAGCAATCTGGCTCCCAGATTTGCACCTGCAGCCCTGACCTCCATGGCAGGCTGCCTAGCCCACACCTCTGTCTGTATGTCGTGTCCCACCTGAGCCTCGCATCTCTCCCACCTCAGGCCTGTCCTGCCCTAGCTTTCCC